TAAGACAGGCTGTCAGGTCAGGACCTCCAGAAATTTGCAATAGGATGATATGGTTGCTGATCTGCTGTGCTTGTGGGCATATTTAACTTTGGAGATGGATTTCTGTTTTTAGGCTTGATACACCTTCTTGATGTAGAAATCTAATAACAGGTGGATAGCACAGGAAACAAACAGGCAAGTTGATTTTTTATCTCAGAAGATATTTTCTGTTCAAAGCTGGTTGCTATTTTAAGAACATGAATCTATTGTACTGTGAATGTGTTAGAATAACAGGGAGAAGAAAGGCAAGTGCAGGGCACCTCTCTTGATGGGGAAAAGCCTGGAAGTCCTGGGCAGGGCTGTGCTCTTCTTGTGCCTGAAGGTTAAGGCCAGGGAATAGGGAGGAAGAAAAGGAACTCAGTTAGGGAAAAGCACACTTAATTTTACTGACATTTTCACAACTATGAAACACTTTGTTAATTTGCAATAACAACCTTTGCAGCTTTGCCAAAATACATGTCCGTTGCCATTAGAAAAACCCCAACATTTACTCAGTTATGGCTAAGTAGAAGGAAGGTGAACTCATTCATTGTGGTAAGGAGGGTGCAGACAGCTTTGTGACTAAGCACAGGAGGAGAGGAGGGTGACATGGGAGGTCACTCCCTTGCTCAGAGACTTCAGACAAACCACAGCATTAATCTGTGCCTCATTTTCCCTAGCTGGAAAATAGAAAATATTGGCTTTTCCCTGCAAGGGACTCTGAGACCTTATTTACTCATGCTGTGAAAATACTCTGAGCTCCTTGTCTGAGAGGAAGTCAATAGAAATAGACTATAGAATCATTTTTTTACCACTGTTTCAAAAGGCAGAAGAAACAAGCTGAAGAAAAGGCTTTACAGTTTTATTTTTAGAAGACCTGAAGGTCTCCTTCAGTGATGGTTGTTCTCTTTCTTTCCTCCTTGCAGGTACTATGCTATCTGTTGCCAGCCACTGGTGTACAGGAACAAGATGACTCCACTGCGTATTGCTGTAATGCTTGGAGGCTGCTGGGTAATCCCGACGTTTATTTCTTTCCTCCCTATCATGCAAGGCTGGAATAGCATTGGCATCATTGATTTGGTGAGTAGCTTAGGAGACATACCGTCTTGGTACTACGTATATTCCCTGCTGTATCTTCTTTTAAAAAGCAATATTCAAGGAAAAAAAGGCAAGGGAGGCTAAAGGAGAAACCCCTTGTGACTGATTCAGAGGGCCTGCTGAATTCCTGGAAGGTGTCTTTATGGGGATTTACAAGGCTGCTGCCCACTGCCCTGTACCTGATGCAGACCCTTGTCTTCTGAGGCCACAGCAGCCCAGACTCATGCCACCTATGTGGTCCTTCTCCAGTGCATTTGGGCAGATGAAGCTTTAGCATTCTTGGTATAAGAACATATTCTGATGTACAGGTCAGTGAGCGCTGCAAAAAAAGCACAGCATCAAGTGAAGTTATTCCTCTTTGCAATGTCTGGGCTGTCAGGCTGATTTTCAATAGTTGAGGTGTGCTCTGGGATGCTGGAGCTGCATCATGGGAAGGTCCTACAGCAAAGCCCATGATGTGAGCACAGGCAGGAGGGGCAGCAGCAGGTAAGTGAAGTACTGCATATAGAAGAGGGAAAGGAGGAGAAAGAATAGCAAAGTGATGGTGGAGCTTCCTAGCAAACAGATTGCTGGTATTGGAGGTGCAGCACTGAATTTCTTCCCTTCTTTGTCCTTCTTCCCCCGGCCCCAGATTCAGCAAAGGCAGTTCAACAAGGCTTCCAACTCCACGTACTGCATATTCATGGTCAACAAGCCATACGCCATTACCTGCTCTGTGGTGGCCTTCTACTTTCCCTTCCTGCTGATGGTGCTGGCCTACTATCGCATCTACGTCACTGCCCGGGAGCACGCCCGGCAGATCCGGGTGCTGCAGCGCGCAGGGACCCCTGCTGACAGCCGGCACCAGCCTGACCAGCACAGCACGCATCGCATGAAGACCGAGACCAAAGCTGCCAAGACCCTGTGCATCATCATGGGGTGCTTCTGCCTGTGCTGGGCCCCCTTCTTTGTCACAAACATAGTAGACCCTTTCATAAACTATACGGTGCCGGGGAAGTTGTGGACAGCTTTCCTGTGGCTGGGCTACATCAATTCAGGGTTGAACCCCTTCCTCTATGCCTTCCTGAACAAGTCTTTCAGACGTGCCTTCCTCATCATCCTGTGCTGTGGTGATGAGCGATACCGAAGGCCTTCCATCCTGGGGCAGACAGTCCCCTGTTCCACCACCACAATAAATGGATCAACTCATGTGCTAAGGTGAGTGTTTGTTTCTCAGCTGCTGCAAAATACCTTGAGTCACTGGAAAGAGAACTCCTCATGAGTTTTCTTAAGGGATTATTTTTGCATTGCATTTGAAATAGCTGATGGGTTAACTGTTCAAAAAGGAGGGAGCAAGAGAAGTGCACAGAAGTCCTTAGGGTGCTTCAATGACCAGTGCTTGTATGTGCCCAGATACGTACTGGAGTGCACAGTTTCTCCAGAGGCGTGTTCAGAAAACAGCTGGGAGGAGGCAGTACTTGTGCATGCATGCTGGAAATCCCATTGCTTTTTCTGAGAAGAACAGTTTGACTGCAGGGGGAGCACCCTGCAGGAGGCTGCCCTCCCTTTGCTCTAGCAGAGGGACCGAGGTGCTCTCATTGCCACTTCTCCTCAGATTCTGCCTTTGTAGACCCACCGGCTGGTGCTGCTGAACCTGAAGTGATGAAAAGCAAAGGATGGCACTGTGGAATCCTAGGGAGTGTGAAGCTCCCACACCTCACACATCCATCCTTTACATCCATACATCCTGTAAATCCACAGTGCTTTTTGCAAGAGGACTGCGTGTGGTTGGGATGGCAGCGGGCTCTGTGCTGGGCCACATCCTTTGCTGCCTTCTCCTCACCGAGCAGTGGAGGCAGAGCACTGAGGAAGGCAGGGAAGAGCAGTTATCTCCATAATATCAGAATGAGCTCTATTCTCTGAAAGAAAATCTGCAGGTGTTTCTGTGCAACTGCCTGAGAGCTATTTGGTTCTGGTGGTAGATGGATTCATGGCTCCATACTTGCAGCTAAGGGCTTGGTAACTGTTTGTGTTCAGAGCTGAACCCGTCTGGAGAAAAAAATCATACTTCCAGCTGTGCCTGATCTGTTGGTTTGTGTCTGGTTTGCACCCAGCTCCCTTCTGTAAGTTTTGGAAAGAGTCCTGGGCTGTGTAGTGAATGGGAGACAGGGCAGGGCTTTCCACAACCCTGAGACAGGCCTCTCATGCTTTTCACCTTATGAAGGACATTAAAAACTATATATCTTCTGCTGAGTAAAAGCTGTTCAAGGGCTAAGGTCCCAGAGTCCTCTGCCTGTGATGGATGCAGGACACAGCGCAATGCTGAGCTTGTGTCAGATGAGGCGGATGCTGCTCAGCTGCAGAAGGAGGCTGGGAGCTGCAGAAACAAGCACTGGGAATGTGGCTGCATGCAGGGAAGAGAAAAGGGCCACTGATGGTGGAGGGCTCCATGCTGTGACAGCCTCACCAGGGCACTGGCCATGACCTCAATCCTTCCAGAGTTCAAGGAGTGTTTAGAAGATGCTCAGAAATATGGTTTGAGTTTTAGGTGGTCCTATGTGCAGCCAGGAGTTGGATTTGATGATCTTTGCGTGTCCTTCCAATTCAGAAAATTCTGAGGTTCCATGATTTTAGTGTTTACCTGGCCAGCCCACTGGCCTAAGCACAGAGAAAGAGCGAGTGGTGTCTGTTTGGGCTATTAAGTGCTGCAGCAAGATAGTTTTTGTGAAAGCACTCCCATTTCCAGTTCCCCCCTCACGTGTGTAACATGTGGCTCCTGCAAACAAGTCCTCCGTGGAAATAAATAATGAGTCTGAGGACTGCGTGACCAGCTGCCCTGCCTTGCTGCAATCCTGTCAATGTAGATGTGATAAACACTATAAAATGCTCCATGAGAACTAACTCTGTATACAGCATCTTCTTCGTTTCTAGCTTGTATGAGTTATTGTACAGATAAGAGTGGGTCCTCTCTCTTCAGCTCACTGCATGCACAAGCTACATTCCCTCCTGCCTTTCTGTGTCACTCCTCTTGCAGGGAAAGGCACCCAGGGCTGCTGAGCAACACTTCTGCACTCCAGCACTTCAGACACAATTACTTTCTATTTTTCTTGGCTTTGTAGCAGATAAGCATGACTTCCTCTCCTGTGTGGATATTGCACTGCTGGTGATGGAGGCGTAGGGATTAAAGGAAAGGTGACTAATTGTAGTTTCTGGGCTTAATCTCACTTGTGGAATTTTGAATTCTTTGGTGCTTCTCTATTAAATGCAGAACAGTTTGGACTCAGCTCAAATTGAAGGCAGGTCCTCTCAAGATGTAACGCACATTTGCTCTGTAGCTTGGAAATCCTGTGCCCAGTAGCTAAAATACCTTAAACCTATGGGCTGGCCTCATACTAACCCAGCTGTGAAGAAGCTTGGGGGCTGGGCTTGGTTCCCACTCTTCCAACCTCAGAGTTGTTTTCTCCTGACTAAGAGCTTCTGCACATGGGGGGAAGTTGTGCAAGAGGGATGCTGCAGCTGTGTCTTGTACCCCTGCAGGAAGAGCATGGAGAGTCCTTGTGCTGAATGCAGGGTGGGCTTCCACTCTAAAAGTCTGCAGTTCTGAGTTAAGCTGACTGAATCTCTCAGCCTCAGGGGGATTCAGGAGTGGTGGAACAGGACTTGGATTTCTATCCCCTCCCCACATCCAATCTTGATAATATTTGGACTATTCTTCAGCTGTGTCTGTCCAAACTATTCTTCCTTTGCCTATGACCAACTCACTGGTGCTTCTCCAATTGCCAACACTACACTTGTCTTCATTAAAGGTAAATTTCAGGCTTTCGCTCTTGGATGTCTGACCTGTGAGTGCCTTCCAGAGAGGAAACCATTTCTTCTTTTTTTTTTTCTGATAACTTCAGAGCCAGAATATTCTAATGTTCTCATTTCGGGATTTCTCATGGTTGTATTAAGAATGGGGAAAAAAAAAAAGAGGAGGAGCAGAGCACAATAAACAACAGTGGTGAGAAGAGGCAGACCCCCTCAGCATACACAGACAGGCCAGTTGGGAGGAGCCCTCATCCTTTCTTTATTTTTCAATTGATCTGTGAAGACTGTGGTGTTCTGGACAAGCAGACAGGGAGAGGCTTTGCACAGCACACCTGGGGCCCATTGCATGTCCAGTGGGATGGGCAGGCTGCCTGCAGTTCAACTGCCTTGCCACAGTGGGAGGGAAACCCCAACAGCCACCCTCTTTTCTCCCTAAACCCTGAAGCAAGAGATGAGGAAAGGATTTCCCATCACCAATTTTGCTCTTGAACTCTACATGAAGTGACGGAGATACCCATTCTTTGAGCAGGGTAAGATGTAGTGCAAAGTATGGTTGGAAGATGTCATGAAGAGGCAGGATATAAGATTAATTAGAGCTGGATCTGCCTGTAACGTAGGCAGGAGTGGTAGTATTAAATATTCATTCAGTTGTGAAGAAGATTTTCGCTTTCCTGTTTTTAAAACTTGCTTTCTGTAAGCATAGGAACTGCCAGAACACGTACTTTTGGCCCTTTGGATCCACCTATTTTACTTCTGATGTGTACTATCAATTGCAATCTAGGCAGGACACATGCAAATAGCAAATCGAAATCTGCAGATGTGGATGCTATCTGAAATTCATGCCCTATTCAATTTTCAAAGGCTGAGATTGCAACTTGCGTGTCATATGCAAAGGTTTGTTTCTTTGGTTGCAGCACAAATTGTGTAATATATAAATATGAATTTCTATTTATCTATGAGCATAAATATACAAATGAATTTGCAATTCACAGTTCTAAGAGGCTGTGGTGTGAAATATTGTGCACGGAAAGGATTTGGGGATCTTTCTGACTAACAAATGGATAGGAGAATTTACAATGAGCTCTCAGCTACCATAATGCAAAAATAAGCAGAATAATTCACAGCAGTACATAAGGCTTTCTGGACAACTCCAGCACATGTTCAGGAGTCCTGTGCACCACAGAGTGAAAACAAAATGCCATAATTACCTGAAAAATGCTGCTTCCTTTTTTAAACATATTGCTTGCATATCTTTTGTTGTGCATAGACATTTGGTTAAAGCAAAGCGACAAGCTCATACCTTTGGGAATCATTAAACTCTTGTACTGCACAAGGGGATTGGAACACAGCTGAGCAGTGCTTGAATTCTTGGATAAATCACGTTCTGAAATTTTGTCACAGCAGAGAAGGTGAAGTAGAATTGAGTGATGATCAGAGCAGACAAACTCTGGAACGTCTGGGTCAAGTACATCCCTTTGGTATTTGTATTCCCCATCTCCATCCAGAGGTACAATGTTCAGCACAGAGCAGTGTTGATCTCTCCTGGGAGAGCTATAGCGAGTGGTTTATTTACTCATTTTCCAGCACAAAGAGGCCTTCTCAGACAGGGCTGATGCCAATGTCATTTCTCCAAACGAAAGCAAATCCTGATTTTCCTTTTAGAGGAGCCAAGAGAAACAAGATAAGAGGGGAAGAAAAGCAGCGCGCAGCTTTGGGGACTGGAATTTCATTGTCCTCATAAATACAGAATTAATAAGTAACCCAATCAAACACACTCATGTCAGCACTCTGAAGGTGCACAAGGCACGGGGAGAAGAGCGCAGTAAATCACTGCGCAGCCAGCACTCAGTGCTGGAGCATGGCTGCAGAGCCTTATTGGCCCCTGTGGGGAATGTGAGTGATGGGGTCAGTAAATCTGAACAGGCGCTGCAATGCTTGGCTCCTCATTTTGCAGAACTGTAGCAGCTCCCCTGGCTTGCAGCTGCACTGGAATAAAAAGAAATCCTTCTTGGCTGTAGGGAAGCACGGCTCAGATGTGCTGTGCCCACCTTGCTCCTGCCCCACTGGGTCTGACGCAGAGCAGGTGTGCGCTGGGATTGTAGCACTGCGCTGCTGCTTCTAGTCTGTAAGGTGTTGGCAGGAGCTCTTCCTCCCTCCTCTCCCTTTCCTGGCCAGGAGCAGAGGAGACACTGGTACAGAGGCTTTGGTGTTCATGTGGGTGGATGGGCTGACTGCGTTGCATTACTTCCAGAAGCAATGAAACAATGAATAAATTAAAGAGGCTGCCCTGAATTGTCATATAGGTCCTGGAGCCCTCCTGCCTGCCACGCTGCCAGTACAGAGTCTTCACTGCTGTGCTTACAGGTAAAATTCCGCTGTCCTGCCTCCTCCTGTTCCTCTTATCTCTTATCCTTCCTTAGGCATTAAGGCAGCCACACAGACCACGGAATTCCCAAGACAGAGCAAAGCAGTCAGGATGGGACAGCCCTGTGCTGCGGCTGCTCCCGCACAGCCCAAGCAGCTGCACGCTGGGCCCTGGCACCTGGACAGCCTGCAGACCGCAGCCTGGAAGCGCAGCCCCTCCTCGCTACTCGCCCACCTCTTCCCCGGCTCAGGGCCATCCTTTGGTGTCAAAAAGGTGTGTTGAGCTTCAGCGGGGAACGAACGCCTTCACTACCACCTTTCCCCGTGGAACAGTGGTGGTTGCTGGAGGAAGGAGAGACAGTGGTGACAAAGGGCACAGATGGGATGAGCTCACTGCCTGCCCTGATGAAGCCCACAGAAAGCATACAGGAACAGCAGCAGGAGCCTGGGCCCAGCTCATCCACTGATACGCCACGCTAAATATTTCTTTTCACTCTCCTTCTCCCTTGCACACATACCCATGCTCATGGAAACAACTCATTGCATAAGCCAGCAGGAAGCAGTTTCTGGAGAGGAGGAGATCACAGGCTGCTTTGCAAGGTGCTGCATCCTGGCTCTATTTGTGCTGCTGGAAGCAGGAGGGTGCTACAGGAACCTGGGATCTGTATCCTGGCTGCAGCAGCTTGCCATGGCCAAGGAAGGGCCTCACTACTGCTTTGAGAGAAAAAAAGATAGCTTGTTTCAATACATGAACAACTTTGCTTGGACAAACTTGCAAAGTCTGGCCCAGAGATGAGAGGTAAAGGGCTGGACTGAAACACAGCATCTCCCAGCGGTAGTGCATGCAGCTTCAAAGCCAACTCCTTGCATTGGCAGGGTACTGAGCTCCACCTAATTAGGTGAATGGGTAAAACCCACTATTACTGGCTTTTCTAGGGCATCTGAAGGGTGTAACTTCGGTTTTGTTTTTTCTCTTAAGGAGAAATAGGCAAGCAGTGTAGGCACATGAGATCATGGCGCTCACTATAGCAATTGGACAGATCAATACAATGGGAAAGGCATTACAGCAAAGCTGTGATGACAGAAGGACCAGCACAGTAGAAAGGTATTATAAAGGAAGGGAAGAAGGCGCTCACCTGTATCAGAAGATTCTAGGTTTGCAGGGGAAAGCTTCACCAAGGAGAGATCTGCAGAAAGAAATCCTTCCCAGTCAGCCTTTAAATGAGGTCTAAGAGAGGTGCAGCCAGGCTGCAGCCCTTTGGGTCACACAGCTGAATTACCTTCACCTGTGCTCCCAGGGCTGACCGGGTCCTTTCCCCAGGTGCTCAATCAGTGGCTCAGGCCATGACTCAACAGTTCCCATACACTTACAAACAGAACCAGCAAGGGAACAAAATCCTGAAAAAAGTATTTGGATAAAAAAGCATGAATTACAAACATGTCTTCTTAGCTTGTTTTGACCAAGTTTCAAAGTGAAGTGGATATGAATCTTTCGTGGCATTTTTTGAACACAAAGGATGCAAGGCCTTGGCTTAAAACTGAGTTTTTATTTTAGCACTAACTACACCATGAATATCCTTCTGAAAGGTTTTTTCCCTTTACAGATATTGAACAGATTTTTCTGTAGACGTTCTGTGATTTTTTTCTTATCACTCAAGGATCACTGGGGAAAGAATTTCAGTGGCAGAGTATTACTGCCCAAAGCTATACAGTTATTTACAGAAAATCATCATAGAGTAATAGAACCGTGGAATGGAATAGCTTAGATTGGAGGAGATCCCAAAGATTATCTTGTTCCAACCCTCCTGCCATGGGCAGGGTTGCCAACCACCACCCTGGGCTGCCCAGGGTCCCATCCCACCTGGCCTTTAATGCCTCCAAACATGGGGCATCCACAGCTTCTGTGGGCAGATGGTTCCAGCACCTCACCGCTCTCTGACTCAAACATTTCTTTCTAAACATCTAACCTAAATCTCCCCTCTTCTAGTTCAAAGCCATTTTTCCTTGTCTTATCACTATCAGACTGTGTAAAAACTTGGTCCTCCCTCTCCTTATAAGCTCCCTTCAAGTACTGGAAGATCACAAGGTCTCTGGGGAGCCTTCTCTTCTCCAAGCTAAAGAAGCCCAACTCTCTCAATCTTTCTTCAAAGGGCTGCAGCCATCTGACCATCTTCGTGGCTCTTCTCTGGACCCAGTCCAACAGCTCCATTTCTTGTGCTGAGGGCCCCAGGTATGGACCCTGTACTCCAGATGGAGACTCACAAAGGCAGAGCACAGGGGGACAATCCAGCTTTTACCCATCAGGAACCCCAAGTCATTGTCTGCAGGGCTGCTCTCAAGGAGTTCCTTTTCCACTCTTACTCATATCTGGGATTACCTCAACCCATGTGCAACACTTTGCACTTGACCTTATTAAATCTCATTAGATTCTCACATTTCCACTTCTTGAGTGTGTCCAGGTCCATCTGGATGGCATCCCTTCCTTCTGTTCCAGAATGGAACCCTGGGGGGCACCATTCGTGACCGGCCTCCACCTGGACATAGAGTCATTGGCAACAACCTTCTGGCTATGATCATCTAACCAATTCTTCATCCACTGAATATCCAGCCTTCAGATCCATCTCTCTTCAATTTGGAGATAAGGATGTGATGCAGGATCATGTCAAAGGCCATGAACAAGTCCAGGTACATGACATCAGTTGCCTTTCCTTTGTCCATTGGTGCTGTCACTCCATCACAGAAGGCCACTAGTTGGTCAGGCATGCCTGCTGTTGGTGAAACCATAATCAGACCATTATGGCCAGAAATTCTGCCTGGCAAGAACTGCCTGGGAATTTTAATGGTCCAGCAATATGGATCAGAGCTTTGACACAGTGCATCATCTTCACTAGAAGGTCATTAGCCCCAAAATGTATCATTTGGATTCGTTCTGCTGTTTCCTTCATTGCTTCATTGTTTGCAGTTCCATGCTGGATTGCCATAGATCATTTTGGAAGCATACTGACACCAGCAGACATTTTGCTGTGCTGGCGAGCAAGTACAGGCTCTGGAGCCTTAGGACGCCAGCTGTAGATCCTCCAGCTGTCACTTACTATTGGGAGGCAATAGACAAGAAATTCATGTTTGCAAAGTAAACAAAGAACATTCCCACTAAATTCTTTTTAGAAATTTTCTGAGCAAAGGATTGAGAGATCCCCCTGACATCTCCATCCACTGCAATTTTGCTGTCATGTGATATCTATTTTAGACAGGAGTTTAGAGGGAAGATGTGAAGGTTTTAGTTTCAAGAAAATTTGATGAAATACTGACTGGGTGCAGCTAGTGTCTTTGCATATATCCAGACTGGGATTTTGAGTTTTGTCCTTGTTGACAGGGTTTTATTTTGCTTCACCTTAGCGAATTGATGCAGACATTATGTTTGTGTGAAGGCAGACCACAGTGCTCTGCTCTGCAGCGGCTGTAGAACCAGATAGGAACCTCTGTGTCAGGAGTTCTGTCCTTGGGGATGCTCCAGTGCTCAACAAGAAGCACAGGAGAAATGAATGAACTTTTTCATCTAATAGAAATCTGTTGGTGGACTTGTCTTTAAAATGCAGTAGTGACATTTTTTGTCAGCTGCAGGTGCCTGGGTAAGCTGTGCTGACATCTATGGGTGATGTTAGGCAGACCTTTTCACCAGGACCATATGTCTGTGAGTACAGCATCAGGCATGGCCAGAAGTATAACCCACAGAAAGTATCACAGGGCTGCCCAAGGTCTTTCTGCTCAGTACTGAGCCATGGCAAGGAAAGGAACTCCATCCAAGATGTGATGTACTATACCAGTCAAGGCATTTGTAATGAAATCCATACAGGTGACCAAGACCAAGACCTCAAGAACATTCAGTTCATTTTAACATAAGCCCTGAGCTGATCCCACTGGGCAATGCCACCAAAGACTGGAAAGGGAGAAGAATCATTTGAGCTAAGGAGTAATGTTAGCTCGAGAAAAAGGAAAAAAAGATAGAAAGTGGCCAGGAATAAATTCAAGCATGGAGTCAGAAAAAAGCTTCTGGCCATTATGGCACTGATGTTTTGAAACGAGCTCTCCATAAGACTAGTGGGGGAAAATGGCTGACTGTTAGCAAGTTGAAGCTTGATGAATATGCAGAAGTCGTATCGTTGTATGATATGATTGTGTCAGCAGCTGGGATCCCACAAAGCCCTGCTTTGCCCTTATTTCCGATCTTTGTGGAGACCAGAAGCAGCCCAAAGCCTCTTGGTGGTCCCTGACAGCCCCCCCATGGCCTCCAAATACTTTTTTTTCTTTATTTGTGTCTTTACTATTATTTCCCCATTTATTTTTCAGGGCAGCTATCTGATAGTGTGTGCAAAATTATCTGACACATCGTCTCCTTCTGCCATTTAAATCCAGGCTGGGCGAAGTAGTTAAAGGTAGTGTGGGAAGTGGATAATTTTCTACCAGGGAAGGCTCAGACCAGGGGAATTAAGAGTACAGCATTCACTAGGTCTTATTCTTTGTTGATAGCATGAATACTTGTCAGGAGATAATCTGGTTTTCACTTGAATTTCATTAGATGCAATTCCAAAAAGGTATTCTATAAAAATATATGAGATCATTAGACTCAATAACAGATAAAAGAGTTCCATAATTTCGAGGAGCTTTCTTGTAGTTTTTCATGAAGCTTTGCCAATATTTGCAATCAAACTTATGTTCCAACTTCCTTGGCACGATTTTACAACTTGGCAGCAATCTTCCCTGCAGTCACAGCACTCACAAAAACTGACTGGCAGTGTGAAGGCTCACAAGCAGGACAAGGAGAACTATAAATACCTGGAGGTATGTGATAGCTCAAACAGGAGATATGGGCTGACCCAGGAAATGCAGGGTGAGATTATGCAAGCTGTTATGCAGAGAACACGGGGATCTGGGAATTTGGCTATTCAACAGCAGCAAAAGTTCACACCATAACAATAAGAGAGTTGCAAACATGGAGAAGTTGTTGTGTTTTGCTCTGTGCAGCATCAAGGGGGCTACAAGCCAAAAATAGATGTCATCTTCTCCTTCCTTTCCCCTCTTCCTCTTTTGAAGTAAGCTGCATGGATTTCTGTTTCCCCTGACTTTTACACATCTGGGTGTGCACAGGGCATCTTTGGCCAATGGCACACCAAGCTCTTCCAGGCAGCTGATGTCATCTGGTGCTTCTGCAGCACAGCCTGGAATCTGGACATGAGGAAAAGGAGCACAAATGCCAAGAGCTGCAAGAGGGAGGAGACCTCCAGCACGGCCTGGAAAATGAGGAGTGTGATTTGCACCACTAATTGAAGACAGACACCTGGTGTGCAGCAGGATATTGCAGCAGGGCAACATCCCTGCCATGCTCAGCCCAGTGTTTGGGCTGCATGGCAGCAGTTCCTGCAGCACAGCAGCCACCAGCATTGCAGCATTGCAGCATGCAGTGAACCTCCAGCTTGTGTGGGGGCCGACTTTGTTTTTACGGTGGGTGTTTTCTAAAGTTATTGCTGAAGCTTTTCTTTTTTATTTGTAAATGTGATAGGCTTCTATTGAAGTTGGGCTATCCCCAGGGTAGGATGTCGAGACAGTAATTTCTTATCCTTCAGCTGTCATCTTTCAAGTGTGGGGAAAGGTTCTTCCTCCCACCTCTTCCCTGCTTTTTCTTTCCTAGGGATCTGTGCTAAATTTAAAAGCAGAAGAGTGCTTGGGTCTTTCTTGACAATTGAAAAAGATGGAAAAGGATGAAAGTGGAGGGAAAGGTGTGGGACAACCTCAGCTCCCTGCACCGGCTCCCTTTGCCTTCTGTGGGTGGTGTGTGAGCCCATCACCCAGACTTCGGTCCTCTCTGACCATTCAGCAGCCCCACCAGCTCCTGCCAGCCCCCCCAGCTCCCCCCACTGCCCATACCAGTACAGATCAGCTCCTGCTGGGATGCTTCTTAAGTATGCTGATGACTGTGTTGGTAAGGTCTTCCTTCAGTCAAAACTTTCCTGTCTTGCCCATAAGTACACAGACAGTGGGCTGAAGCCTGGTGCACAGCTCCAAAAATACCTTGTCAGAGAAAGAGGAGAACTTTTGATAAAAGAAAAGCTTCTTGTAATTGTACAGAATGAAATCAAGAAATTTATCTTATTTCCTACAGAGGAGAAAGGGGATTAAGGTTTTAAAATACCACAGTTTCCTTCAATTTCAGTAAGGTAATCTCTTTCAATATGTCTGTATATTGGAAAAAGATTAGAGCTATGATAAAACCCCTTTTGTTATTTGGCCTAATACAAGACTCAGGATCAGAAGTTCTGTTCTGCATTGGTTTGTTGCTGGTAAGGAGACTGAGGGGTTGAAGGGCACCTT